ATAGCATTCCTATGAGTGCAGTAGATAACCTTGTGTGCTGTAGGACATGGGAATACCTCTGCTAGGCTTCTGAGAAGCCTTAGGGGGGGTCCTCAAATAAACAAATAAACACCCTTTCTCACCCTGCTGCCTTCAAACGTCCCCCCGCCCACAATAATTCCTAACTGTATACCTGCCCACCCTCCCTCTCCTAATCACAATCCTCAACTCACCTGAAGCCTCAATCTCAAACATCATCCTTGACACTGGGCAGATCCCTCTTGTGACATGATGAATCTGCTGAAAAAAGTGTTGCACTTGACACAACCAGGAACCTCTGGATGCTGCGCTCCTCCTAAAAAAAATACAAAACAAAACAAGAACAAAACCAGAAATTACAAATGCACTTTACCACCCCTAAACACAAAAGCCAAAATCATGAGTCTAAATACTCCCTGTATTCCATGCTGTTTACTTCACAGAATCTTCAAAGCCTCTGTGCTTTAGATGCCCAGAAACACCTGCTGGAAACAAGCTGAGATGAGCTGAAAGAGCCTCTTCACTGAAATGAGAGGAGAGCTCTTACCCCAGCACATTCTGGCGAAGGAATGAAGCCCCTCAGCCAAGGCTGGGGTTAATATACCCCTGATGGTGCCCGCCTCTCGTTCCCATGGCACCCAGGAAAAGGGAGGGGGCAAATCCCACCGGGTATAAAAGCCCTCAGAGCAGCTGCAGCTGGTTGGCCTCTGACTCAAATGCAAGGGGAGTAAAGGGCTTGTTATAGAAGAAAACTCTTCAGAAAAATAACAGCACTTTCTTTCTTGCAATAACTACTTGGAGCAAAAGGGCAGAAAACTGGTAAGAAATAAAACTTTCTGTTTAGGCAGCATAACTAGATAAATTGAGTAATTTGCTGTTAACTTACATAATTATTCCTTAATGGCTGCCAAGTTGTACTTCCTGTGTGGCTAAGCCAGGTGGAGAAGAATACTAATGATATGAACAGTCTAAGTTTCCTTGGGACCTCTAATTAGGGCTATCTACATTTTAAGTAAAAATAAAAGCCTCTCTGATGGTGGTGTAAGGGTTAAGTGCATGCCAGGCTCACCCTTCTCTGAGATACTCGGTCCTACGGCACAGAAAGAAGTGCCCTGAAATGTAGTTTTAAACCCTTAAAATGCTGAAAAAGACAGAGCTTCCTTCCAGGGAACCCCTTAAAAAGAGGAAATGGGGCAGTTGCCTCTACTGAAATCAATACAATGGCAAATAAAGAGCTTCTGCCCTTTAATTTGCTCTCCTTAAATATTGGGAAAAGAGGGGTTTTCCTCACTTTAAATCTTGCCAATGATGAAAAAAGAGGGATTTTTCCCTAAGTTCAAACCCTTAAGATGGAGGGATAGCTGGGCTTCTCCCTCAATTTAGGCCTCAGGGCAACAAAAAGGGGGAAGCTACCCTTAATTCACACCCATAAGAAACATTGTCAAAGTTTTCCCCTTCTTTTTACACTGCCAAATAATGGAAAATGGTGACTCCCTGTCAATTAACACCCCTAACAGCATAGTAATGGCAGGGATTCTCTCAAGTGAAACCATTAAAATTGCAGGGGAAGGAGAGTCCCTCCAAGTTTGAGCACAAAAAATAATGGAAAAGGAAGCTTTTCCCCTTTTTTCTAAACCCTTTTTCTCCTAATAACTCCTCTTCTTCCTGGGAGTGCTCTGGAGGGTCTGGGGGCTTTGGGGAGGGACTGACACAGTAAAAGGGGAAAATTGAAAGCCCTCTCCTAGAACCCCACTAGCTGCCTGGCCTGCTCAGTTGCTGCCCCTTGGCCAAAAGGGCTCTTCCCTTGGCGTTTTCTCAAAGTGATGCTCAGTGCCCAGGTGGGTCTGGCTGTTCCCTAGTCTGTGCTGGATGCTCCGACTATAGTTCCTGGAGGGACGCTTGGGATACCCCTGTTAGTCCCTCTGGCCTAGCAGCTCCCTGTGCAGGTGTGCCCGGGCAACCCTCTGAAAGCAGCTTGTCACACGGGGGCCTGCTAGACCTTGGAGTGGGGGCTGAGGTGAAGAAAGGTCCTGTGAGGAGCTCCTTCCCCTACACAGCCCTTTGTCTGCCCCTTAAACCATGGGGTGCCCGGCTTTCCTTTCTAAGGAAATTAACAGCCTTTCCTCTCTGTGTGCACATGGCAGAAACTGCGATTCGGCCTCCAAAACTGCAGAGAACAATTTCTCACAGCCCGCAGCTGCCAATGCCTAGAGCTCTTGCTGCCCTCGGAGTGCCACGTTCCTCCTGGGAACAGACATCAACATGCAGCAGGGGTGAGTTTGGTTTTACAGGGAAGAGGGCCAGCACAGGATTTCTCCAGGAGCAAAGCTGCCCCCACCGAGAACTCGGGCTGCTCTGGCAGTGCCAAGCACCTCCTGCAAACTGGCCTCAGGAAACTCAAGGGGTGAGTTTTTCTGTGCAGAAATTCTCCCAGACCAAAGCTGAGAGCATCTAACCCTGACCACAACAACTTAGCTGAGTCTAAAACTTACAACCTTCAGACTGGCAGTGAGGGCCCCAACCCGCTGGGCCACTGCTGGCTCCTTTCTAAAGCATTCCACCGCAGTCCTAAAAGTCCAAACTCTACCTCTTGCTGTCTAGCCCACAGATGTCATCCCTATCTTTTTGCAGTGGGTCTGTTGTCCTCTGAGGGTTCTGTCATTGTCCTGGTGTGTGAGGGCTGCTGTCTGGTCTCGCTGTTAGGGTTGCTGTGTTGTGCTGCTGTTGGGAGAAAAGGCTATTTTTAGGGGGGCTGGTTAGACTGAGGTTAGGGCTGGGGTGAGGGGTGGTACAGCTGTACCCTGTACCCCTGATCTCCACTGGACTGTCCAGCCCTCAACGCCTCTCCCTTTACCCTTCAACCGGTCCCTCTGCCTCCCAGCCCTCAGCTCCTGTGTGTCACCATTAAACCCTCTCTTATCCCCAACCCATCTCCTTCCCTTCCCCATCCCATCCTTTCCCCTATCCCCATTCCCTTTCCTCTAACATTTCATCCTCTCCCCATCCTTATTCCCCTCCCCTTTCCCCATTCCAATCCTCCTTCCCCATCCCGTCCCATNCAAAGGGCTGCAGGATAACTTATGGGCTCCAGATATCCTGTGTCCATCTCCAAATTCCATCTAGAGTCCACCTGCACCCCACATTACAAATTCCAAGCCCCTGAGATGCCTCCTATTGCACCAGGCTATGCAGCAGGGCAGAGCAGCTCTGGCACAAATGTGTGCTGACACCCATGACACAGGACAGACAGGACGTGACAAACAAATGGCACAATACACAGACAGAAATCCCTTTGTAAGAAAAATGGCTGCCAGGATTGAGAGAATGCAAAAGGAAATGACCGAGGTGAGACCGATGGTGAGCTGATGAGGCTCAGAGAACCCTGGTGGAAGATGATGTTAACTGAATCATCTCTTCCAAGAACTGCAAAGATTGATGCCTAGGAATCCTACAGTCAGAATCCTCTCCCTAACCTCACATTCTTACAAGTCCTAATCAGCCATAATGGATCCTGGCGGGGCATAGCTGTCCGTACAGCTCAGAACAAGACCTGACAAGACATCTGACTGGATGCTTCCTAAGAGAGATGCATTTCTGATGCCTGTCTGAGCTCTCCAGTCAAAAGTTCCATGGCATGGGTGCCAGGGCAAGGAATGCTGAGATCATGGATGCTAAGAATGGTGCGAAGGTTTCTGACAGGCCTCTCAAAAGGCTAAGGTAAAAGACATGAGATACACAAGCAACACATAATGCACGATAGACAAGTGACACAATACACACTGGGACTGCTCTGCCCTGCTGTACACCTCAGCACTGTGATCAAAAGTGAGACTTTGCATTTATGTGGCCTAAGCAGCCACTTTCTAGACACCCCCATCTCCAAAGCAGACTCAAAAACCCCTCCCGGTGGGTCCCTGCCCCACACCCCACTTTCATCCCCTCTGTGGGTCGTAGCCCTCAGACATCTGGGCATGCTGGTCCATGTCAGGTGCGAAAGAAGGCAGCCTCGACATCTGGGTATTTGCTGCTGGCACTGTTGTTCAACAACTTCCTGTTATTTCTTTGTCTGGTACATTAAAGAACACCAAATATCAATGCATGATCTCTGCAGCACATTGGCCAAAACGCAACAGTTCTGCTACTCACTGTTCTCCTAAGAATGCCCGGCTCCTGGTGCTGCACACTTCGGCCTCACTCAGAGGCTGACGCTGTTGTCGCGGGGTACGCCTGGGGTAAGAGGAGATGAGGTGATGTGGCATTGCTGAAACCTGAGTGGACCCTCGCTCCTCCCCCCTACTTCCCTGACTCACTGCAACTTCTCGGCCAGTACCAAAGGCTACACCCTGGCGACGCCTTTAACTAGGAAAAGGCAGAGGCTTCATCACAGAGTCCCGTGATACTTCCGCAGGGCTCAGGAGAGCAGCAAACCCAGTCCATTGGCCGGTCGGTGACCGGGGCTTGGCGTGCTCTGAGTGGATTGCCTAAAGCGCAGAAATAGGAACAGATACTTAGAGTTGCACCAGAAAGTGAGACTTGAGCAATAACAACTGCTTCTGTAAGCTACTCAATGCTCACCTTGCCCATCTCACCTTGACTGCTGATATCCAGCTTTACTTCCTAAAAAGAAAAAGAACAGTGCTGTAACAGAGTCACACTTTACACTCACCCTGCAGAGACAAACAGTGACTGACCTGCTCTGGGGAACCTCCTCACCCGGCATGGGTGGATGCCCTGGATTTTATCCTCTGCATCTGAAAGTTAGGACAAAAGTCAAAGGGCTGCAGGATGACTTCACAGCTCCAAACATCTTGTGTCTATCTAGAAATATCATCTAGAGTCCAGTGACACCCCACAAACTGCAAGTCCCCGGGACTTGTCCTATTGCAGCAGACTATGTGGCAGGGCAGGACAGCTCTGGCACAAATGTGTGCAGATGCCCGTGACACAGAACGTGCCAAACAGGGGGACATTAAACATGACACATCATGCTTGTGGTGAGGGCCTCGAGGAGAGAAGGTAAAAGGGACCCCAAAGACACACTAGGTAACACAGCACACTGGACAACACAACATAGACCAGAACTGTTCTGCACTGCCTGCCTGAAAGCTGCCATCAAAAGTAGAGCCTCTCCCTTTAGCTGTCCTAAGAGGCCCTTGAAGAAGATTACTTTTCCCTCTGCTAATTTTTAAATCTGTCCCAAGAACTCCCAACCTGCTACTCTCCCATCATCCCATCTCCAAGCCCTAGCCCCCAACTTATCTTTTGTTTGATTGGTGATGTGGATCCATGTTGCACCTGAAATGAGTCTGCCTTGGAACGCCTCGTGATGGCCTGTTAGCTTCTTGGTTAGCTACAATAAAGAAAACCAAAACCAAAGTATGAGTCCAGATTTATGTGGGCCAAATCCCAGCAAGTCAGCTACTTGCCCTCTCCTGAGTGTGCCTGGCTGCTTTAGGCTCCAGCTTCACCCTGATTCCAAGGCTGTGGCCTTTATTAGCAGTGGCACCTGGGTTACAGAAAGGCAAAGTTGAATAGCATTCCTATGAGTGCAGTAGATAACCTTGTGTGCTGTAGGACATGGGAATACCTCTGCTAGGCTTCTGAGAAGCCTTAGGGGGGGTCCTCAAATAAACAAATAAACACCCTTTCTCACCCTGCTGCCTTCAAACGTCCCCCCGCCCACAATAATTCCTAACTGTATACCTGCCCACCCTCCCTCTCCTAATCACAATCCTCAACTCACCTGAAGCCTCAATCTCAAACATCATCCTTGACACTGGGCAGATCCCTCTTGTGACATGATGAATCTGCTGAAAAAAGTGTTGCACTTGACACAACCAGGAACCTCTGGATGCTGCGCTCCTCCTAAAAAAAATACAAAACAAAACAAGAACAAAACCAGAAATTACAAATGCACTTTACCACCCCTAAACACAAAAGCCAAAATCATGAGTCTAAATACTCCCTGTATTCCATGCTGTTTACTTCACAGAATCTTCAAAGCCTCTGTGCTTTAGATGCCCAGAAACACCTGCTGGAAACAAGCTGAGATGAGCTGAAAGAGCCTCTTCACTGAAATGAGAGGAGAGCTCTTACCCCAGCACATTCTGGCGAGGGAATGAAGCCCCTCAGCCAAGGCTGGGGTTAATATACCCCTGATGGTGCCCGCCTCTCGTTCCCATGGCACCCAGGAAAAGGGAGGGGGCAAATCCCACCGGGTATAAAAGCCCTCAGAGCAGCTGCAGCTGGTTGGCCTCTGACTCAAATGCAAGGGGAGTAAAGGGCTTGTTATAGAAGAAAACTCTTCAGAAAAATAACAGCACTTTCTTTCTTGCAATAACTACTTGGAGCAAAAGGGCAGAAAACTGGTAAGAAATAAAACTTTCTGTTTAGGCAGCATAACTAGATAAATTGAGTAATTTGCTGTTAACTTACATAATTATTCCTTAATGGCTGCCAAGTTGTACTTCCTGTGTGGCTAAGCCAGGTGGAGAAGAATACTAATGATATGAACAGTCTAAGTTTCCTTGGGACCTCTAATTAGGGCTATCTACATTTTAAGTAAAAATAAAAGCCTCTCTGATGGTGGTGTAAGGGTTAAGTGCATGCCAGGCTCACCCTTCTCTGAGATACTCGGTCCTACGGCACAGAAAGAAGTGCCCTGAAATGTAGTTTTAAACCCTTAAAATGCTGAAAAAGACAGAGCTTCCTTCCAGGGAACCCCTTAAAAAGAGGAAATGGGGCAGTTGCCTCTACTGAAATCAATACAATGGCAAATAAAGAGCTTCTGCCCTTTAATTTGCTCTCCTTAAATATTGGGAAAAGAGGGGTTTTCCTCACTTTAAATCTTGCCAATGATGAAAAAAGAGGGATTTTTCCCTAAGTTCAAACCCTTAAGATGGAGGGATAGCTGGGCTTCTCCCTCAATTTAGGCCTCAGGGCAACAAAAAGGGGGAAGCTACCCTTAATTCACACCCATAAGAAACATTGTCAAAGTTTTCCCCTTCTTTTTACACTGCCAAATAATGGAAAATGGTGACTCCCTGTCAATTAACACCCCTAACAGCATAGTAATGGCAGGGATTCTCTCAAGTGAAACCATTAAAATTGCAGGGGAAGGAGAGTCCCTCCAAGTTTGAGCACAAAAAATAATGGAAAAGGAAGCTTTTCCCCTTTTTTCTAAACCCTTTTTCTCCTAATAACTCCTCTTCTTCCTGGGAGTGCTCTGGAGGGTCTGGGGGCTTTGGGGAGGGACTGACACAGTAAAAGGGGAAAATTGAAAGCCCTCTCCTAGAACCCCACTAGCTGCCTGGCCTGCTCAGTTGCTGGCCCTTGGCCAAAAGGGCTCTTCCCTTGGCGTTTTCTCAAAGTGATGCTCAGTGCCCAGGTGGGTCTGGCTGTTCCCTAGTCTGTGCTGGATGCTCCGACTATAGTTCCTGGAGGGACGCTTGGGATACCCCTGTTAGTCCCTCTGGCCTAGCAGCTCCCTGTGCAGGTGGGCCCGGGTAACCCTCTGAAAGCAGCTTGTCACACGGGGGCCTGCTAGACCTTGGAGTGGGGGCTGAGGTGAAGAAAGGTCCTGTGAGGAGCTCCTTCCCCTACACAGCCCTTTG